CACACACACACACATATATTATTTATTTTTTTCTTTGAGGGTTCCACCCCCTCCCAGTGTCAGACTGAGGATTTCATCCTTCCTGCTGTGCATCAAATACGCCCCCTACTGGCTGACAAAGGATGCTACATGCTATAAAAAAAGTGAAGACCTACCCCCTGTGTGTCAGCTTTCATTTCTCATGTAGGTCTAGTTGTGTAAACCTCTGGTGGCTGAAACTTGATTAAAAGTAAATACATTTTTCAATATGGGCTGGTTGCTCATGTGCCCTTAATATCACACACTGGGATTTCTCATGTGTGTTTACCTGTTCATACAAGGCTCCCTTTTAGCTGATATAAACTGAGCCATTCAGCAACAAGACTTTCCCCCTCATAAACAAACAGAAGAGATAAAAACCAATGTTGACCAATCACCATCTCATTACAGGTTACTATTTAGGACATGCATACTTCACATCATGTATTAACCAAAAGTTCCATGCCCCATAAATTAAAACTGTCACACAGTCTATACCTCCCTCCTCTCCTTCATATTCTCAGCAGCATGTAAACAAGTCTCTGTTAACTGAGACACTAAAGCCTATTGTATCCTTGTCTAGCTGTGTCTTTCAGTCAGCTACAGTTACACTGATTACTGGAAAATAGTTGGAGGCAAATGTGTGTTTACAAATTAGCCATGACAACAAACAAAATCAGAGGACATGTTGTTGTAAGGATGCTCGGCTAATGGACTCTGATGCCTCTCATTAGACACTGGTGTAACTGGGCTATCTGTCTGTCCTTCCAGCTATGTACCATACATGACGTTGTCAGTCAACAAGGAAACAGAAAATGGAAGACATAAACATACAGCTTATGTCACTGCTCTAGGCGGCTACTGTAACACTAACTGGACGCTTCCTCTGGTTTTAATAGACAACGCAGCGGTATTCATTTCTGAATCTATGAGCACTGGAACTGCAACACTGACATATAGAAAGTGCGCCCGCAGACAGTGAATCTAGTTGGAACTGCGCAGCGAATAAATACATTTAGTTGACCAATTTTTAAAAAGTTGCCGATAAGCGACATTATTATAAACAGTGGTGGAATGTTACATGTTAGGCCCACTAGCTATATTAGCTATACCTATATTATTATTATTATTATTATTATTACACTACGATCGTTTTCCATTTTTTGCTAACCGTACTTTATACTTCCACTCCACTACATTCCAGAGGAAAATATATTTTAATTGAGTTCATACCTATGGCCTAAAGTTATTACTTTTATAAAATGTAAGCGTATTGTTATAGATGAACTGTCCAGCAGTGTATTAAATTGTTAAACTTATCTCTACCTAGGCCTATAAGTTAATGAATCTATAATAATATTCCAGGAATATAATTAATCTAACTCTTTGAATGTGGCCCTTTTACATAATGCCTGCTGCGACTTGTGTTAAAGGGGAGCTGAATATAAACTATTAACTTTGGAATTTCAGATTTTACCATTGCACTTAAAAAATGAAATGAGTTAGAGCACAATAGGCCTCTGCATACTCACTAGTCTATTATATCGATATTAAAGTGATACAAAAATACAGTAAAGTATACAAGGTCACTCTGAATAGTCTCTGTAGACTCGCTGTAAGTCATAATATAAATGATTATACAATTATTGAATGAATTGACATAGCCCTATTTTAACCCTTATGTCTTTGTATGAATTATTAGGTAATGGGGTGCAGTGAAAAAACTAATTGATTTGACAAATGGGTGTTTGTGAATGGCCTCCACGCAGAGAGCCTGCGATGCAACTAATTTATTTCTCATCAAGCGAGATTTCTGACTTTGAATTTCATCCTCCGGTAATGGATTGGACACGCAGATTCAGTGTCGCGTTTAAAGCAAGGGCCGAGGTATGCATCCTGACTTTCTCTGTTTTCCATTTGCTCTCTGTTTTTTTTTTTTTTTTTTGGCTGTAATATCCAATTTCAATAAGATCAATGACACTCCCAAATCGTCACGTTCGTCAGCGTAAAGACTGATGGTTTCTCCCTTTGAGGAATAAGTGCGTACAAATGGGAGAAACGCAAACAAATATTAACTGTGACTAACACAGCCTAAAAGTTCATCCTTCAGTGTATTATTCCTAAAACTGCTGAAAACATGTATAATGTCCACGTGTTAACAGTGGCCTATTCATGTTGTTTTCGCCTCAAGCCTGCAAAAGCCCACAACCTCTCATTTCATGATCATTTGGCCTGAATTGAGACTCAAATAATTACAGCTACAGTCTCATTAAGCCATTCCTTAAAGCTTATCTGTTCATTACCAATGTAAAAGGCTCAAACACAAACTCACATTTCCCCTCTCTTTGAAGCCATGTCAGGACAACTTGCAGGATCCATCCATTTCTAAGCGTGATTATAATCTTCTGCCTGGAGACAATGCCATCTTCCTTAGCAGGTGAAAGCCCCCCCGTTAGCCCTGCTTATTTTAAAGCCAGCGTCCACCCATTGTGCCCGCGCGTTTTTCACAGCAAAGTCAACATTTGAAGTGCGCTTTTATCCAAAGCGGCTAAAAAGAGGCGAATGTTAATTGAAGCCGACTTAGCCTGTGGGACATCTCTTCCCTGCGTAAATTAAGGTGAAAGACAAGGACTCCGGTGGGCCCCCCCGACGGGCCCACCCGTTATTGCTCCGTAGCCCATAGGTGAGTGGGTTGGGACATGAAAGGGCTGATCAGGTGCTGGGGGTGCTTTTCAGCTTTGGTTTTGCAGGAGTCACAGGAAGATTAAGGGGCTTTTCCTTGCAGACGCTGAAACTGCAACTGCATGGTTTTCCTCATCGGCCTGGGCCTCGCATTTAATCACAAATAAATATTTAACAATTTTCTTTAGTCTTTAGTCTTAGTCTTAGATACTGTACCTTGATTGCCTATGGATACATGAGGTCAAACCCCCACCTGGTCGACGTGAGGAAGGGTTGACCCCGCTGCTGCTCTGTGTCCGACAACAATAGTAAAATAAAATGAAATGAAATGAATTAAATTTGAATAAGGCCAAAAATCTTTGTACATTTTTCTTCCTCTCGCGCACTGGTGAAAAGGATCAACTTTGATGCTAAAATGGTGAGTGGCCTTTCTTCAGATGATGGACAGTGAAGGAAAACGAGCTTTTGTCTGATTTCAGAGCAGGAGCGGAACCATTGCTTCAGTGATTGATTAGGGACCAAAGGAGGCTGTGACCCACGATACTCAGCGCCTGAAACAGAGAGAGAGAGAGGGCCAAAAACGAAACATAATTCTTTTTTTCTTTTTGTGAGGTGACAATATTGATTATTAGACATTTGGGGATGGAAATACACCCACTTCTCTCAGTGGCACAGAGCTAGACTGGCTTTACGGCCGCCCTGGCGTCGTATCCTGCTGTGGCGCACGTCCCCCTTCAGACTGTTCTCGGCTGGCTGGTGCTCAGTCTGAAAACCACAATAAATTCCTTGAGGTGCACACACTTTAGCACCATTTGTGTCATATATGAGGCCATGGGGTGGAAACAAATTAGGGGTCGTGTGCGATAGCACGCATTAAACTGTACAGATGCTGTTACGCACAGTTTGGTGATATCTTTTTTTTTGGTATTGAGTTTTGCGTAAAGATCTGCAAAGGAAAAAGTCACAAGTTAGGGCTTTGTCAGGTTGGGCTACTGTTGTTTGGTTTTATAACATTTAGCCGAAAGGAAAGGAATGTCAGGAACACTGGGCTGGGTAAAATCTAAAAATATACAACACAATTACCTATATGAGAAATAAGGAGCGCAAATAGAGAGCGTCAGTCATCACTGAGTACGGTCGAGAAAAGGTGGCTGGAAGTTTTGGTGTCAAATGATAGATCCATATGGAGCCATGGTCAGTGAGGTCAAATATAATGCAACAAAATAATCCGAATGCAATGCAATACAGCAGCCCAGCAATAATGATAGTGTACTGTATCATTCTGAGGCTGTGCTTAGTGCGGGTGCTATGTTGGACTGAATGTGCTTTTAAAAAATATTTTGTCCACCTCATTTAAATAAAAAAATAAGAACTATGCCTCAAACTAAAGCTGTTGCCTGTTGCATTAGACTGCATTACACGGTTGGGATTCTGTGAGTGAGGGCATGTCAGTAGTCAGTACAGTACGTTTCTTACCTTGGCTTTATGTATTAACCTAATTCTATTCTGTATTCATTTTCCAAGATTATAAAAAGATGAATTGACACTAATTTACTTGGGACAGCTCCCACCGGGACCACACCACAACAGTTTGGTGACCTGCTAATCACTGATCAAATGAATCACACCGTTCATCGCTGCACTGTCATCCCGCTATTCACTCAACACATGAGCATATTGCGAGACGTTTCGGTGGTCAAACAGCACTCGCACAGTCTCTGCCATAGCTTTGGCTTGAGTGAATTGACGCCCCGTACTGTGCTGTGACGGCGTCTCTGATAGGACCAAAGTTTCCCGCCTCAGCCAATCCTCGCGCCCCGCCGCGCAGCGAGTCTACCCTCTCCACCAATCACAGCCGGGAGCGCTGACGGCAGGGAGAGAAGAGCTCCGCTACTTTTGACGGTCTCCCCTCACTTTGAACCGGTGTCAACAAACAACAACAACAATATTTTCGTCCTAGCTGCACCGCCTTGGCAACCACATGTCCAACAGCCTCGGTACTGGCGAATTAAACCCGAGGAGACTGAGACACGAGCTCTTTCTAACATCCACAAATCCAGTTTTCTTCTTTGTTTTTGGTCGTCACAGTTGACTCCTCAGAGGGTTGTGGCTGTCCCGGGACACTGGTGCTTGGCTGTAGCCCGGGTGAGGCTAACCCCTAACCGAGGCTAACCGAGGCTAACCTTCCAGGCTCCCACACGGGCGAAAGGGACGGTTTCCACGACGTCCTCCGGCTGTAAACTCGGCGTCGGAGCGGCAGCAGCCTCCCCGTTAGGAGGAGGTATCTGCAGTCACTGGGGTGCTGGAGCTATGACTGCATTGGCGGGGTCAATACCCAGGATGATGCGACCCACGCTGGCTCAGAACTACCCCCGCAGTGGTTTCCCTCTGGAAGGTAAAGCGTCACACTGCCAGAGGGAAGGTTACAGCCCGGGATGTTGACGGGAGATGTTTGGTTGTCAGTGTTAGTTAGTCTAAAAAGTCTCCGTTGCTTTTATTTTGCCCCAAAACTCAGCTTAGAAACACAACGGCTGCACAGTAATAAGACATAAGCGTTTTAAAGAATTACAGCTCATTTTATTTGAGTGGTAGCTGAACTCACATATTTAGAATATATTCATTATTTTTATCGCTACCCTGGTAGCTTATTTTACTGTTTTTTTCCTCTAAAAATGTTGGTATAATTTTGAGCAAACTTGTTTAGAGACAATGTGAAATAATTATGCTATTAACATGATATTTTGTATTTGTTTTAAGGGATAATTATTCTATATCTATAAGTTATTGCCTAAAATGTAATAAGCTAAGCGTGTATTGCCTCTTTTGGAGCGTTAAATAAAGCAGCTGCTTCATGCTATAATATCCTGTTATTGGTGTGTTCAGTTGCGTTTGGGGTCACTTCAGACTTCTCGTGGTGTTTAGCCTGTAACAGCACGGACCGGATCACTTTAATGACAAGTTGCTCTCATATTTGATTCAAATGTAGTGTCGACCCCGTTGGGACAAGGCCGAGTGAACCAGCTCGGAGGAGTTTTCATAAATGGCAGACCCTTGCCCAACCACATCCGACATAAAATCGTGGAGATGGCCCACCACGGCATCAGGCCGTGTGTCATCTCCCGACAGCTCCGGGTCTCCCACGGCTGTGTGTCCAAAATCCTGTGCCGGTACCAGGAGACCGGCTCCATCAGACCCGGGGCCATCGGTGGCAGCAAACCCAAGGTAGACGAAGCAGATCAGAGGCTCATGTATTAACACTTGTATTCAAATATGTCAGTCATTTGAATAGGAATCCATCCACACTGAATGCTTAACTCTTACAGAGAATATTAACTTGTTGATGTATTTAAAGTTATACAGGCAATGTATGCATTGGGCCCCAAGGGCCACAACAAAGTGAATAAACACTGCCACTTTTCTGACCTTTGAAGCAGGGAACAACGCCGGACGTAGAGAAGAGAATAGAAGAATACAAGCGGGAAAACCCGGGTATGTTTAGCTGGGAGATTCGGGATAAATTACTGAAGGATGGGATATGTGACCGCAACAACGTTCCTTCAGGTAAAAAAGGGCAGAAATGAATGAATTTACACATTATTATTTTTATTATTTTTGTTATTATTATAGGCTACATTTTATTTTATTTTTCATTTTTTCCTTAATATCCTGCAAATTTTAACTTCGACCACAAGAGTTTTACAGCCTAATCGAGGAAGTATTTTTTATTAGTATTTTATTTATTAAAAGTAATAAAACCTTTCCCTCTTGAACATCTGACAAATCTATATACTTTTACTACTTCAATTTTCTAACTCTTATTTGTTTCACAATAATAATTAAATTAATAATACTTTGTCTTTAAAAAAAACAAACAAAAAAAAAATATTTTTATTATTGTAATTTCCACTTCTTTGATCCGAACTTTTGCAGTGAGCTCCATCAGTCGCATCATGCGGAGTAAGTTCGGGGGAAAAGGCGACGAAGAGGAGGATGAAGATGAAATCGAGAAGAAAGAGATGGAGGACAACGACCGGAGGGCCAAACACAGCATCGAAGGCATCTTGGGAGACAGATGTAAGTGAGCTGCTGGAGTTATTGTGGCTGATGTGGAAGAAAAATAGTTGGCACTTACTTCACTTTATGGGCTTATCTTTTTCATATCAGTGACCCACACACACATTAGAGCCCAGTGGAATCCTGTTAGATCAGATATCACCTCACTGACTCCATATGGGAGGACTTTTAATTTAGCATTCAGTTGCTGAACTGTCTGTTTGAGCTGTACTTTGGAAAATATTATTATAGGGAAAGTGAAAACTTAACAGGCTGTCTATTCACATAATCTCTCTAATTGGGATATTTTCCAGTGAATTAAATTACAGAGGAGCACAATCCCATTTTGCAGGGTGACCTCCTCAAGAAATCTGTGAATCCTGAGTCTCCACGCTTTCAACCTGTTGATTGCTTTTGGGCTTAAAGGAGATTGGGTTTATTTAGTCGTATAACTGGCCTCCATGTGAAGTTTTAGCATGCTGTAAAGTTGTTGGCTGGGGGTGGAGAGTGCGTGTCGTCCTTTGTTAGGAATTCTTTATCGACCATATCTCTCCTGCTAATGCTTTTCCCATGAGGCCATACCGTAAATCAAACAGCAGGTGATGGCTCTGTGCGGGAAAAGGAGAGTGTGTGCACTGTGTGTGTGTGTGTGTTCAGCAGTTGGTTTTAAAGCATGTGTGGATGATGTTACAGCAAGTCGATGCACATATATTAAACACTGTTTTATTTTTGTGGATTAGCAATTTACAAACACAGGCCATTCACAGGATTCACCCAGCATATTTAAGTATAATGCCTCAATAAATTATGGAAACAGTTCACATTTCTCCTGGGCCGTCGCTTGGCTGTTTGTTTATAGTTGGCTATTATTTAATGCAACACATCGATTTTTATTAGTGTTTCAAACGGCAGCGTCCACTGTAAAAAGTGACCACCTGGACAAGCTCGGATATTCCGTCTCACATTTACTCCAAAGAGCTTTTGTTTTTTACTAAATAATTCAAAAATAATTCAAACCACCTAGATAGATTGTTTTCAGTGCAGTTTAAGTTGAGGATTTAAATTAGGTTTTAAATTTAGTTTTTCAAAGTAATTTGCATGAGAAACAAGTTTAATCATTTTTAAGAAAACAACTCTGTTAAAGATGGACATTTTTACAGTTTAGGCCCAAGACATTTTTTGGGTGAAAACTGGATAATGCGGCACCGGATGTGTTGCAGGCCAAGGAATAAAACATGACACACTTTGTTCATTGCCCTCATTGCAGTGTGACACACAGTAGCCTAATTGGAGATGTGGGAGCGGTCTGGGCTCGTTGCTCTCATTAGCCCGCTGCACTCTCTCACTACGTCATTACGGTGGAAATTCGTCACGCCTGGCTCCTCGTTTAATCCAAATTATTACAAACTCCATATTGGACAGGCGACATCTTCTCTTTAACACATTTGGATAACTGTGGCCTGGCCGGTGAGTTTGTGTCGTTGTAGAAACCAAACTGAGCCGATAATGTGCTTGCCACCCTTTACTCTAAGTTAAATATTTTTCTTTTCGCCATGAAAAACGGAATTATACTTTTCAGTCCAGCCCATTGGCTCGGTGTGTGACAGCTAGAGTGAAATGGGGATGGCTAATTCCTGGGTAAAACACTGGAGGTGATGGTAGGTCCGTCTCGTCTAACTTTAGAGCTGGCGATGTTGTTACTAAAATTTAGAAATTCCTATTAAATATTTCATGCTGTGCCACTTAATAAGCTTGCCACTTAATAATACACCATTCATCTCTATAACACCAGAGACTAAACGGCCCCCAAAATGAGTCGTTCAACAGTTTCCATCCCTTCTCTTCCCACTGTTTAAAACAGTTTAAGTGTCAATATTTAGCCCTGTGTTTCCCTGTTTGCTTGTCTCCATCACTGAAACAGGGGAGGAGAGATAAAGGACTCTAGTCTGAGGAGACAAAATGTCCCCCAGATGAGTTGATCAAACATTTGTTCAACGGTTTCCAACTCCTCACAAAGACACGCCTCGCGCGCACAACGGGACGCTCAGGGATGAACTTGGGAGACAAAGGCGCGAGAGTCTATTTGAGGCTCACGCTTGGGCTGCGCGCGGACAAAAGGCCAGCTTGGAAACAGCTTTGGCCGCCGCTAAAGAAGAAGGCAACCTGTTTATAATTCAGTCGGAGAAAAGGGAGGGGAGAGGAGAGCTTCTCCACAGAAAAGCCCGACAAAACACACTATGAGGCCGCAATGAAGGATGAATTATTCAGGGAGCGCTCCAGCATGGTTTAGAGGGCCCGTTCACCGAGAGAAAATGGCCGTTTTCACCTACAAAATGTTTCCTTTTGGGGTCGGCTAAAGAAGCCGACTGCCATTCAGAATGACAATGAGGCCTCTGAAATCCCCTCACGTATTGCCCAAGGATGCGTGCTCGCCCCCAAAACACGTGTGCGCGCACAAATAGCCTACTATTAAACAATTACCCTTGATTTAAGATGAGCCCTTTCCAAAGTGACACAATGTGGGAAGCGCCATGTGTTGATAAAGGCGCATGTTTCCTGAGTGAATTTCCTGAACATTTTAGAGGAAGAGAAAGTTCAAAAGAAGTCAGTAAGAAACATTTTAAATGCCAACACAAGCTAGAATTCCGACTCTCTGCTGCTCTTTATATAAGTTATACATACATTTAGCGGAGTTTATTTGTTTTTTTCTGACTTCAGTGAGCTTTGAATAACTTTCTCTCTGTCTTGTTGCACTTGTAATTCAGTTTAATTCACTGTAAAACAGAAAAGGCAACATTGTCCGATTCTGCAGCTTTTGATGAAGTCTAATTGCTGTGTGTCATAATATTCCGACTGTAATTGGTCAGCAAAACAAAGTGGCCTTCTCCGCCTTGAAGGATGACGCTAATAATACCGAGACGTCTCCAGCCTCTAACTCATGATCTATTATTGATTCTTTGATGATTCCCGGCCTTGCCCCCTCGAACATTAATAATGTCCTCTAAATGATGTCGATATTGTGCTATGTCACATTTAATGACGGAGGGAGTGTATTAAAGAGTGTTTTGGGTGAATGGGGACCAATGTTCTCCCCGGAGAGCCCCGCTCTGGCCCGGAGCGCAGCTTCACAATGGGGGCCCCGGCCACCCGTCCGTGCGCAGCGCAGCGCTCGACTCCGAAAGCTCAACCCCCCCCTCCTCCCTTTCGTCCCCCTCCTTCCTCACCACTTGCTCCCCAAATCTCTTCAAGCAGATTAAATCGACTCTTTTATTTCATCTCACTTTCATCTGGAGAGCAACGCCGCCCCTCTCCCTCTGTTTCCTACTCTTTCTCTCTGTTTCTCTCAGCCTGCGGCGCACAGCTCGCTTCTTATCTGGGCTGCATCCTTGTCCGGAGCGCACAAAACACAGCCAGTCCACTTTCCTAAAGTTTCTAATTGAGTTCTTGACGAACCTTTTGCGGTTTCATTATAAATCTATATATAATTTAAAAATGTCATGGTTAAAAATTGATTGCAGTAACTAAATCTGATAAGTAGCAACGCCTAATTTAAATATTTTGTATTAGTTAAGATCAGCCATCACCTCTATTTTTATACTTATGAGTCTGCATTGGAACAACATATCTTTTGACTTTTCAATACAAGACATCTCATAGTCAGTTAGTTAATATATATTATCAGCTAATGAAATAACACCAAACTATCAACGTAACACCAGTTTTATACCTTATCAGATGAATTATATTCAAACCCAAACATTAAGCCCCGTTTTTCTATGACCTGCTCTCTTTTCTCATTATCATTAACTGAACTAATCTTGAATGGCAACTTTAAAGCAGTAATACTTAGGTGGGCCTTAGGTGAGGTATTTAGAAAAGTTCCCTACACTATGTGTACACAGCCTGTTGCTCAGATTATTGAATGGTTATAATTAAAATGTAATCTAAAGGCTTATCTTTTGACATAGAAATCTAAATTAAACCACATGTTCTTCCAAATCCCCATGCAATAAGCAAATATAAGTTAAAACAGAAAGAAATTCATACTCAAAAATCTCCACCCCCTCTCCATTTTCTATCAAATCTTTATATATTTGGCAGTAAGGCTGGCCCTCCAGGCCTGTTGCTGGGCTGTAGTAATTAACCCTGGAGACAAAGTTAATGATTAAAACAGTCCCCGCCTCCTCCCTCCTCCTGCTTCACATTTTCACAGTGTATCTTTTAGAGCCCATACTTCGTTAGGTGAAATTAGCCAGATAATACAGAGGAGCCTTGTTGAGGGCCGATACATTTCCATTTAGGCCAGCCCTGTGTGCGCACACACATACACACAACCACATGCATAGACACACGTACACACACACACACACACATTCCACTCTGCAATGCAAACAGTCAAAGGGATAACTTTATTTGGTGAAAGGGGATCCTGGAAAGGGCTAATTGAATAAGCCCGGGATCTTTGAAAAACCCCTACCATGGTGAGCGCAGTCATCATGTCATAATTAGGTTTATTGAGGCGCATTCCTTCAATCTGCCTCCATTCCCCCGGGCTCATTGTATCCAAGGCCCAGGCCAATGGCTGGGGGACAAAAGGGAACCGTGAGCAGACAATACATGAAAGAGCCATAAAGATTTAGCTGGCTTTGTCACAGAAACGGAGTGGGACTTTGTTTGTGTAAATAATGCGAGTGAATGAAGAACTTGGGTTTCTCTGCCACTTTGGGGTGAAGGATGGCGTGCTGCAAATGTAATATGTGTAGGCACACACTGGATCAGTGCCAGGGCAGAGGAGAGGAGGAGAGGAACGAGAGGATGGAGGGAAGAGGAGAGGGAACAGAATGGGGTTGGATGTGTTTGGTGTGTGATGATGGTGTTTGCAGAATGATTGGAGTTTTTTAACATCAGCTGTAGTTATCTTAAGATCAGTGAAACTACACTCAAGTGTGTGTTAAGTGTTTGCTGTCTTTTTCAAAGATAAAAAGTGACTTTTTAACAATTGTTCCAGTTGCACATATTTT